GTGTTTATCTGTTTCAGATGTACTTTTGGTGTGATGTGAGCTCGTTGTTTCATTGTCCAGAACCTGCACACGCGAGGTCACTGATGCACCTACATGTCGGCTCTTTTAAAGTGCTGTCTGTTTGCTGCTTGGAAATATGAATGTGCTCGTATGACATAACTGTTATGAGTATACATGTTGCAAAACAGACACCGCTGCCCCTCCCCCATGCTGCTGATCTTACATAAGATAAATCATTTTTATGTGTATTGATTGATGTTCTGCTTATGCACTTTGCATAAACGTGAGTGTGTGTGTGTGTGTGTGTATACACTGGATTCCTCCAGACGCTCTCACTGTGTTTCTGTGTATTTACATGTGGCTGTTATGTTTGTGTTCGAGTCTCAGACGAACAGTAGAGAGTTGTATTTATAGATGGTCGCCATGGAGCTTGAGACACTTCCTGTGTTTACTGATCATTAACCAGCTTGTATCATCTTCTCATATTCTGCTCTCTCCTTTTTCTTTCTTCTTCGTTTTCTGCTCTTGCTACTTTACACCTCCACTTTATTTTTGTCCACTTCTGTTTTCATTTACTTCTCCCTCTTTCTTTGTTATGCATTTCTTCCTTTCCTTTTTTTCATCAATTGCCCTCTTTTTTTTTATGTTTTGGTTTATTTTCCTCCCTCATCCTCATGTCCAATCGTAACCCTTTCTTCCTTACTTACTTTCTATCTGCTTCATGTCCCTTCTCCTCCTCCTCCTCCTCCTCCTTTCTTTTCCTCTCTGTCTCTCCCCAGAACGTGGAACCCGTTTGAACAACACCCCCCAGCTCTCCTCTGGTCCCACCTTGATTTCAAGCAGCAGTAAAGGTCCTGGTGGTGTTGGTGGTGGCAGCATCCTCGGAGGCAGCATGAGACACAACAGCGGCCACCCATCCTTCTCCCACTCCTTCCACAACCTGGCCCAGCTGCCACCATCCTACGAGGCAGCCATGAAACCTGAGCTCAACCGCTACAGCTCGCTAAAGAGGCTGGGTGAGCGCTTCTCTGTTTACTAAACTAGGAGCCAGTTTTTACTCCCACCTTGTGCCTTTCTTTCCAGCTATTTCTCTTTCTGTGGCCTGGTGTGTTAAACCTGTTCACAGCCAATCCTCCAGTTAATGAGAATCTGGAGTGGTGGCAAGCAGGCATGGCCACCCGGAGATTTGAGACTCAGGATTAGAGCAAAATAATCATTTCAGAATAGTCTGAATGTATAAACTGTTTCTGCAAAGCGGTCACAACACTGAAGTAAACCCACTGAAAAAGAAAAGGGGAAATGAATGAAGGGGTGCGGGGAGAAATGAGACTGGAGGGAAATGTCAGAGATGGATGGTGAGAAGAAGCAAAAGGTTAGAATGAAGTAAATAATGGAAAGTGATAGGAAGATGACACTAAGGGGTGCAGAAAAGAAGAGAGGAGAAAATGTGGAAAAGAAAGAAAAAGCAACACAAACACAGGAGAGTACAAATGTAGAGTAAGAGGTTTTCTGAGCAGAAGAATGAAGGTGGGGGGCGGGAGGGGGGCAATGAAAGAGTCGGCCAAATACGGAAACAAAGAAAACGAGATATTTGTGATGACAGAGATGCAGATTGACTGACTGAGCAGAAAGAGAAGAATGAAGGGAGAGGTACTGGCAGAAAAGGACGAAGGGACTGGGGGAATGAGTGATGGTGGGGGAGGGGTGTTGGCTGCTGGTCTGCAGGGGCCTGCTGCCTTCTACAGGGAAGAAAAGACATTTGAGAGGCAGTGGCTAGAAAACCCTCTCTCTCTCCCTCTCTTTCTCTGTCTGTCTTTACCTCTCTCGCCCAGGGATTGCTGAGCACTGCAGGGGGAGGGGAGTCGCCTTTGCAGGCTGAGTGATGGATAGTTACTACATGGGTGTTCGCGTGTGTGTGTGTGTGTTTGAATGTGATGTGGAAGCAGTAATGATGTGAAAGGCCAGATGAGGCTCCTTATTGTTTCAATTCAATCAGTAGGAGAAAACACGTCAACAGACAACGTTTGGAAAAGGCTCGCACTCCCTCCACATCAGACCGTCAGAGGTCATCCACTTCCCTTTGTCTCCGCCTAGGGAACAGCTGACTGTGGGAGGAAGCCAGAGTAGCTGAAGAGAACCCACGCAGGCACAGGGAGGACATCCTAACCTCACAGAGAAAGGCCCTGGGTCGGCCCAGGGTTCAAACCTGGAACCTTCTTGCTGTGAGGCAACAGTGCTAACCACTGTGTCACCATGCCATCCCTTATTTTTATGTTGTGAAATGCTCATGAGATGGATTACAGCTCGGGATCTCAGGATTAATCACACATATGGCAATGACTGATTGCACATCACATTTTATCCCCTCACACTGCAGACTTGAAGTGATGATGTTTAGGACACGTCATATGTATGACTTAAGTCTGTGAGGGCAGGTTTGGATTTGATCTTGTTTTTCAGTTCTTTTTCTTCAGTTTATTCTAAACTAACCAACAAAAATAAGAAGATGTGACTTGCTTCATGACAGGTGATTTTATTTCCCAGAACAGAGCTACCAGGCACTGATTGCTTCACCTCTGTTAACCAGGTACAGGCTAAATCACTGAAAAGCAAAGCAGTATGTTTTACTTGTCTCATTACAAAACACCTGCTTCTTCAGAAAAACATGCTGAATGTCAGTTTTTGATGGAACGCCCCTTCAAAAAGAGACTCAAACATTGTTGTCATTGTGCCTCACAGAGAAGGAATATGACCTCTCACCAGCCGCTGCATGAGACCTGGGCCGTTTAATGTAACTCTCTATATGGTGCCGGAGAAAGGACGCTAATAACAGCCAGGGAGAAACCTCGCAATCATTTGGCTTTATAGGAGGGGAGTAAACAGAGAGGGAGAGAAGAGGAGGGAGAGGGTGAGACAAACAGCAAGAGAAGAGAAAGATGGTGGTAAAAAGCGACCTTGAGAGTAGGAGAGGCAAAGAAAGGAAAGATGACGAAGGAACAGCATGTGAAAGATGAAAGGGAGAAAGTAGTGGAAGAGTCAAAGGAGAAAACCAAAGGAGAGGAGACCTGAGAGAGAGAAGACGGGAGGCGTGAGGGGAGAAGAGAGGTGGCTGGTTAAAGGTCAGGTTTAAATTGGCTCTTGGGGAGCTGCTGCCATGGAAATGCTTTGAAGATTAAAGTGGTCTCAGGCTATGGAGCAGAAAGCACAGAAACACTGTATTTCACTATTAATGAACCTCACTAACTGTCTATCTTCCTTCTTTGTTTTGTCTGACTATTTCTTTAGTTTCACATCATTTATGCCTCTCATTCTGTTTTAAATTGTGTGACTGCGGCCTATTTTCTCTCTTTATTCTTTTATGCCTCATGCAATATACAGCAGTTCTTTCTTTCACCTCCTTTTCATCTCTCTCTTTGCATTATCCATTCTTGCTGTTTCCATCTTCATGTCCTCCTCTGCCTCACTCACCTCAGTTTCACCTTTCACTGTGTACCTTTCTCTGACATCTCTACCTCTTTAACCTCCTCTTTCTCTTTTGAGGTCTTTCATCTCTCCTTCATGTCGCATACCTGTGACAGATTCTCTCTTTGACTCATCATGACTGACAAGGTCCTTCCCTTGCCTTCATGTCTGTCACCTCTCTTTTGTTTTCTTCTTTTCTTCCAGTTTGCACTTGTTTGTTTTGCCTTTTCTCATTTTAAAAAGCTCTTACCAAAAGGCCCTTTAGTAGCTGCTGTGAAGCATTTGTTCATGGTCTTCATTAGGAGGTGGCGTTTGCCCAGTTGTTCACATTTCCAGTGAGCATCTTTACCGTTTTCACCAAGCTGGACGAGACGCCCTTGACGTGCTCATCTACATTTTATCAGTGGAAATGTGATGGATGCATTTCACTATTTGTTTTTACATTTTGTAAGCATCAAAACAAGTGTTGTACCTTGTGGACAGGTATGTGGGAGAGTTAATCCAAGAGCTGTTTTATCCGTGGCACAACCTTTGAGTCATGGACATTTGTCCAGCATCATATTTACAGCATGAAACTAGTTGTTCTGTTACTAAAACCACAGGCTGTGACAGCAAATCTAAAGGACTGCTTGGTCGTGTGGATTCATCTTCTTCTTGAATGTTTTATTGACCAGCCATTTGATTGGGAAAAAAACTGAAATGTTAATCAATAAAGGAAATAAATTCTACCTCCAGCTCTGTTTACAAATTGCACAATTCTGTCTTTCTTTTCCTGGAACAGAGAAAGAACTTGATGAGTACTACGCCTCCAAACGTCGCTTCAACAACGCTCCGCCCTCCTTCCACTCCTCACAACACCAACTGCCCTGGGCAGGTGACTACACACTGGGGTCCAGGGGCACGCTGCCCCTCAACAGCTCCAGGCCTCGACTCCACATCCCTGCCACCACCCCAAACCCATACCCGCTGCCTGGCCAGACGCACTACGCCAGCTCCTCCTTCGACAGGCCGCCGCGCCGCGTCCGCTCCCAGGACCAGCTGCTGGCACTCGGGGAGGGCAACACACTGTCCCAGCTGTCCAAGAACCAGCAACACCAGTACTACAAAGCCATGATGGGCACCAGCAGGAGTTCCAACTCACAGACCCTCCGCAGGTGAGATATGGGATGAGACAAGACAGAGGACGACGGAAGTGCAGGAGGAGAGTGGTGAGTGGAAAAATCAGATAAGATGAGAGGGAGATGCAGAGAAGATGAAAGATGAGAGGGACGCAGAGATCACAGAGCTGACAAGACAGAAGGGACAGAAGATAACTTCCTTGAAGAAAAAGGGAATCGGAGCGTAAAATATTAAATGAATGTCAAGGGCAAAGTAGTTTCATTAATATGTAAAGGGTCTGACAAGGGGAAGGAGAACTCTGAAATTTGCATAGCACAGAAATTCTCTTCAGTAGAATTTAAAATTTGAAATGAACCTGTTTGACTTGAAAAACTGAGTCAAATAAGTAAAACACTGAGTTTTGGCTTTTTCACCAGACAGGGTTTTTAATTATAAAAATGTATTTAAAATGTTGCAAGGTTCAGATAATTAATCAGACGATTGACTCAAAATGAATCGGATGCTATTTTGATCATTGACTAATAGTAAGTTATTGTTTGTAGCTTCTTAAATATGAAGATTGTGTGCTTTGTCACACATGAGAGTGCAGCATATGAAGGCTTCATCCAGGCATGACGCGGGGCATCACAGTGTTAGCAGCTTTAATAGCACGTTTTCAAACAGGTGTGTGCTTCCAGGTCCCACGAAAGGCTCCTGGTCTCTCCTGACCGTCTGGAGGACCAGCTGATGGCAATGGGGCTGATGGTGGGTGGAGGTGACAGAAGCGGGATGGTGCCCACCATGGGCCGGCTCAGCCACCACCAGAAGGCCCAGTCGCAGCAGAACATCTGCGTCACACCATCCATGGACCGCCACCACATGATCAAGATGAACTCCCACCCAACGTCGGGCCACGAGCACGACCGCAGCCCCACCGCCATACCCGGCATGGGCCTGCACAGCTGGGACCTCTTCGGCGGAACAGGAGGCCACCCCAATGCCCGGCGGATGGCTTTCGCCAACAAGAGGCAGAGCACCATCGAACAGCTGCACTTCATCCCTGGAGGAGGAGGAGGGCAGGGACTGCGGACTGGGAGTAAGAACGAGGTGACGGTGTGAGAGAAAGAGGGAGAGAGTGAGGGAGGAGAAGTGAAGGCTGAGGTCATAACGAAGCTGGGACAGGATGAGCATCATCCTGTCCCAGCTTAGTGGGGATTTGAAACGAGCCAGGAAAGTTGGAAGAAGACGAGGAAGAGGCTTCATCTCGGCTGGCTGTCTCGCAGAGCCCACCCTCACCACTCCCATAAAACAAGGTGAGATATGAGACCTCACCTGGATGACAGCATTAATCTCATAGTGAGTATAACCAACTCGTTTTCTTGTCACTTTGTGTATTGAAAAAGAATATTCTGCCATTCTTTATCAAGAGAAGACAGAAGTGTCCACTTAAAAAGAGCAAAAAATATCGTCTGACTGCAGTTTAAAGCCTGCTGGGTATTCGCCGTGACTTTTATTGAAGAATACCTGCTGACTCACATTTGTTGAATTATCCTTGAGTTTTATTGCACTGTCCTGTGAGTCCTCGAGCGCGCCGACAGAGGCTCGCCTGTCTTTGAATCCACTGTGGATGATGGAGAGCGCTGAGGCAGAGCACGAGTTTGTTTGTATTTATAACCAAACATGTTGCTTTTGTATGACACTTACCTGATATTAATCATAGTATTAACATTTCTGAGCCCTGTAGGACTTAGTGTGTACTTAGCTGAAAACAGATTTATCCTTTAGCCAGCCAGTTTGCAACTTAAAGGCTAGACGTGATCTGCCCGCCATTTCTTTTTTCTAATTGTGCTTGACCTCTCATGGATCAAGTACATGGATCAAGCTGTCACTCAATTGCTTTGTGGCTTGATTCACTCTAGGTAAAAATAAATGCCAATTTTGAAAAAAAAAAACAACTACTTCAACTTTAGCCATAAAGGCCCAGTCACATCAGCATATAATCACTGGATTTGCTTACAGAGGGGAAGTAAATACATGCGTTGTTTGTTCATGTTTAACTTTAGTGAACTGTGACCAATAGTAAGCTGATCTTTGAGGGAAGCTAATGTAGCTTATTGGCTACGTTTTGCACCATCCACTGTTATTAGGAGTCAGGGGTTGATAGAAAAATGCATCTTATGGATAAACTGTGAAATCACTGCTAAATGACAGTAAGACAGCTTTCT